TAGAAAATAAGATAAATCAAGAGTTAGGTAACACCCAGCACAGGTTACAAAATGAAGAATGAAAAGATTTCATAGCTGCAAACTCATTGAGAAACTTTTATTTTTATAATAACTTGTTAAAATAACAACTATTACCACCAATTATGGGCAGTATAGCAATAATTATAGCAATAATAACAATTATAGAGCCTCCATGAACCACTTAGTTAATGGACAAAGAAGCAGAAGATGAACTATACACAGTGAGGCCACTATAAAAGGAAATTAGATATTATTTCCACTTACCACTAGTGGCAATACCATTTAGTTCCAAAAAAAATAGATTGGTCACTTCAATCCATGCCTGTTTGTGGGACACTGCTATATGCAATTGGCTGCTGTGTTTCACCCACAAGTATACAGTCAATTCACTTTACAGTCTTCTGTGAAGCGCTTTGAGACATCTAGAAGATGTGAAAGGTAATCTATCAAATGCAAACATTATTTTTTATTATTATTAGAAAAGAGAATACAGTTTGGGTGGATTTGGTAATTTGTATAGAAGGAACCAGTGTGAGTTAATTCCAAAATAATTTACATTTTCTTAGTAGTAGTTGACAGCTGGGAAGATATGCACTGCTTGAGCATCATTTTGGTTGCATAACCCTGCAGATGGTCTGTTGAACCATGTTTAATACGAAACCTTAAGTTTGTGATGCTTTGACCTCTCCTGAAGGCAATACCACTTATTTCCAAAGACAAAGGCCATCCTCTTGTACCTTACCAAATAGGCATTTCACATGTGAATGTTGGCATGCTATTCAGCCAGAGGTGGCATCACATTCAAGCCTAATGCTTTCCTCATCTGATTTCACACTTGCACACTTTCCAAGAAGGGTCGTTGATTAGGGATCAGAGTGGGATTCCTAGCTAATTCTTTTGCCTTCTCATCCTAAGCTTTGCTGAGGGCATTTGTAACAACTAGATCAGCATACTCAGCACAGTATTAGTGTGCTGATCTCAGCTGATAAGAATGGGCTGGAACTTGAGACTATTCTGAATGGCACAGATCCACATTATATAGTCAGCTGTTTTTCATTTAAAGAAAACCTAAACTTCATTTAAACCTGCATCAGAAGCTGATATGCAGAATTTCACGCGTGCATTTAAATATACATGTACAGAATTCTACTTTGCGTGAACAGAGAGTGACATTGTGATGGGCAATATAATACCTCATGATCTGTTTAAACTGCATCAAATGGTCTTGGTATCACATTAGTTTCAACAATATACATTTATATAACAATCATACAATAAATGTGTGTTGAACATGATTTACTGTAATTGAAAAAAAGTAATGTACTAGCCTGGCTCAGTTGGTAGCACTTTCACCTCCCAGTCAGGAGATTGTGGTTTAAGCCCCATATAGGGGCTTTGAATTCACAATCCAGGCTACCACTACAATAATGCAGTGCTGGTGGAGTACTGCACTGTGCAAGATGCTGCTCTTTGGATGAGATGTTAAACTGAGGCCCAGGCTGCCATTTTCAACAGCCCATAGCACTATTTGAAAAGAGAAGAGAGTTCTACCTTGTGGCCTGGCCAGCAATCCTCCAGATAAATGCACAGTCATTATAATTTGCTGTAAAACGTTATGAAGAGCTTTGAGACTTTTCAACAATGTAATAAGGCTCCATATTAAATGCAAGGTTTTATATTATTATTAATGGTATTATTTTCTTATCAATTTGAAAAACTGCCTCATTTATCTTTGAGCATATGTGTAGATAAAATGAGGGATAATAATTTTCAGTAAAATTGGAGTATATTCATGCTTATTGAAATGACTTATGCATTTATTAGAATTCAACTGCAGGATAGTCGATTGCAAGGGTAGATGTGTGTTTGATGGTGGATTCAGGAGGAGGCATGTGCCAGGAACCTAATGATAATGATACATATGGTTTACCAATATTTAAAACTGGTATATTTATGGTACTTTTCTAGCCAGAACCACATTATACTTTCGGGTTTAGTAGATTGCAGAGTTGAGCACAACACTACAGCTCCAAGTTTCATTCATAAATCAGAAAGGCTGATCAACCATGGGCAGACCCTGCTCACCCCACATCCAGAGAATCTTGTACATGTGTTCATCCATGTGTAGATCTACTTTTCCGCCTCTAATCATGATGCCAGGTCCACTGATAAATCTGTCTGCCTGTTTGTCAGATGTCAAGGTCTGGATGAGTAGCAACTCTCTAAAGCTTAACAAGGATAAGCCATCAATCTTGGCTCCTGCCACCATCTCCTCACATTGGCTCTGACCTTGTCAACCTCCCCGGCCTATCTCTCAAATTCGTAGAAACTGTTCCCAACCTTGGTGTTTGGTTCAACCCTCAGCTTTCCTTCCTATCCCAAATTTGGACCCTAACCAGGACTGCTCTCCTTCACCTATCTCGCTCCAAATGCTACTAGAACCTACATCCATGCCTTTGTCACCTCCTGCATTGTTTTCTCAAATGCACTACTCGCTGGTCTTCCCAGTTCCACCATCCATAAGGTCCAGCTCCTATAAAAGTCCACTGCCTACATCATCACCTGTGCCAAAGTCTGAACTCCTATCATCCCAATCTTCGCTAGGCTTCTGTAGCTCCGAACGTATTAACTTTTAAGATCCTCACTGTCATATACACATTTCTCCATAACATAGGAACACCCAACCTCTCTGACCTGCTTCTACCCCATTCCTCTGCCCATTCCCTTCAGTCAGCTAGGTCAGGCTTTCTGTGTTCCCCCAACCCATCCGTGCCATCATCGGTGGCCGTGCACTCTGTCACCATGTCCATAATCTCTGGAATCCACCGCCCCACCCCCCTCCCCTCGGCTCCTCTCTATCTACCTTTAAATCTCACCTGAAAACATAACTATTCGAACACATCTATGGTCACCTCTCCCTTCACCTTTTCTGTCCAACGATAATGATCACTGGTTTTAATTATCACAGCACATACTGCAATTTTCCTCCCTCATAAGCATTATTGATTTGACGGCAGTAGCCTTTGTTCAGTAGGTTCACTGGACTGCTGATATCACAGAATGCTTTAGCTAGCCCAGAAGAAGGCCATTCAATCCATTGTGCTTGTGCCAGATCTCCGAGCTGAGCTGTCTGTTTAGTTTTGCTCCTCTGCCTTTTCCCTTCACCTTTTTCCATTTTTCCTTTTCAAATATATGTCTGATACCCTTTTGAAAGCTATCATGGATATGGTGCTATCACTTTTTTTTCCAACAGTGCACTATGCAGGACTGCAGTGCACACAAGTTCACTGTGTGTGTTACACCACAAGCAGCATAACACACACAAGTACGTCCTACTAGAAATGGCAAACAACATGAAATCACACCATATTGTATAATAAAATGAGTACAGTGGGTCCTCGTAAATAAAAATCACCTCACAGCAGATGTACCACATAAATGCCCATGGCACAAAAGGGATCCCACGTATGTATGCCACCAGAAATGTTAGTGTCTGGAATGGAATGCATGTTCTCTTCCTGGAAGGAACTGCACCCCCCACCTCCGCCAGCTCAGGTCCTTATCCCTGACTGTTCAGCGCCTTGGGACGCCCTCCAGAGGTGAAAGACACTTTACAAATGTAATTTTGTATTGTGCCTAATTCTGGAGAGTATTAGGCACAGGCTGGTAAGAACCAAGGCTTGAAGACCCCAGTGGCATTGTGTTGGGATATGAGTGGAACCAACTAAAACAGCTCGCCATTGAGAGGATGGTCTGGTAAGCTTTCCTTTTTGCTTATGCAGCTTAGACCATTCTAAGTGTTAAGGCTTTGGCTTAAACAGTTAACAGGAGCTGAGTGGATAGTATCTCTGCTCCCAGTTGTTTTATGCTTGGATCAGGTATTCACACTTATATCTGAAGGATAAATCTTACCACATAAATCATCTAGCCTGTTTATTACTTTGGGACTGCTTAAAGTGTGCACTTTCTGAACCTCTGTACTGTATACTAATCATTAGATGTGATTCATTAAAATCCGTCGTTCCCAGAAGCAGAATTTAGCAACAGTGTGGCTTTAGAAGTTGCAGTTTTTAAAGGGATACTTCTTTCTTGTGGACAGTGCAGATGATTTTTTTTTTGCCTGAGAGATCACCTCGGTAAGAAACCACAATCAGCTGCTGTGACAGCTGTGGATTTCCCTCCCTCCCTCCCTTCACTGGGGTTTAGTTTCATCACTGTGAAAATCAGTCCCCGCTTAGGCTTCTCAGCGAGAGACAGAAAGGCGTCTTTAGCCACTCCGTGACCTGAGCTTTTTATTTATTTCTCTCAACGTGGCCGCTGTGTTGCTGTGTGAGGTTTGCTTTTTATCAAGAAAAGCGATCAAACTGGTCCGGATGACCCTGATTGTATGAATAAGTAAGCAGGATGCTCAAGGCTGCTGACGACTATTATATGCCTATAGGATTTTCGTAAGTTTTGCAGAAAAAGTGCTATTTGCTGGCACTTTGCCCCGTGTAGTGGATGTATGTCATCATTGTTCAGAGGCTGTCCAGGTCTCTTTTTTTTTGTGTTGTGTGTGTGTGTGTGTGTGTGTGTGTTTGTTTAAATTATGATCTGCTGTGCCTTTTGCAGAGTGGATGTTCAGAACACTAGACGTTATCTTTCTACAAGGACCTCCTGAAGTTTTTTTTTAAACAAAAAAAAAGAAAGGCTGGATTAACAAGGCGACCAACTCACAGCAGGGGGGAAAAACACCCAATTTACAACGGACCAATTTACAAAGCTGCCATTAATCAAACTTCTCTCTGCTCCGGAGCTGTGCGCTACAACGGGCTTTGCATTCACCTCCTCTGAATCCCACCGACTTGCATCTACTTCCCACCTCCTGGAGTAAGAGAAACCCAATTCGGAAGCTGCCAGCGGTTTGAGCTCCACAGTCGAGCCCCACCACCACCCCCCACTCCCCCCACCACCCCCCACCCCACCCCACCCCACCCCACCCCAGGCATCGCTTCTTTCCACGAAGATTTAATATCATAAAAGCAAAAAAAAACAAAAAAAAAACCCAAACGAAAAATGAATGTGATTGCACTGTTACTCACCTCCTTGACTCTCTCTGGGAAAACGCAGCGAGTGAGTGGACTCCGGGACGATTACACGTCCAACTACTACGATGAAGAGAAAGGCGAGGTCATCGATTACAGAGACCCTTGCAAAGCTGGTGAGTGATCTCTCTCTCTCTCTGTGTCTCTCTCTCTCTCTCTCCTGCAAAATGATCTGGACGTAAAGCATGACAAGAGACCGTGTGTATTCAGTAAGTTAGACTTGGCACAGGGCGATCTGCTAAACATTTAGGCTGTGTACTTCCTAAAGCCGGGTTTGTTGGCAGTTATTTAACGCTGGAACTCGCGTGGGAGCCGCTGGCACTGCCGCAGGCGAGTTACTCTAATATTGTTGCTGACCTGCAAGTTCACTGCCTTACTCTTGTTAGCTTCAGATGAAATGAAAACTGTCCTTTCTTTTTTTTCTCTCGCTCATCACAGTTACCAGGTGAATTTGCAACCGCAATAGACTTATCCCTCTTTCTCCCCAAATGGAAATCTTCTGCTTCGGATGAATTGCAATGTGTCCCCCCACCTCTCTCTTTGATTAATTGGTATCCCAGTTGGGAGTTTAACTGGAAATATCAAATTTCATTACTTCCCCCCCCCCCCCCAAGCAGCCCAGTACTTGAATTCAGCAAGAAAGTGCAGACTGTGTGTGCTGCTTTGGGCTGGGAATTGACTGGATTCAGTCCAGGATGGTCTGACAGGATTGGCAAGTTTACCCAAGTACATTGCTGTAAACTGGATGATTTGAAGGCAGAATTGAGGTCTCCCTGTTCGTTTCACACATGCTTATACACTCATTGAAAGGAGGAGATGGGTTCACATTTCCTCCACCAGCTGGTGATATGTTATAATGAACCTCATGATAATAAATGGTACTTCCTTTCTCCTGACTGTTTTACTCTCCAGTGTTTTATTCTTTTGAATTCATGTCAGTGAGTTGCTCAGGTGCCCGAGCTCTCTAAAGGTGGGACCGTCTCCACGTAACTGCACGGGATGTGAGTTCTCCCCAACATGTGAGCATCTCCCAGGCAAAGCGAGGGTCTCCCGGGGTAAATGAGCTCTGTGTGGGGTAACTGATCTCTACCTGGGGTGACTGAGTGTTTGTCCTGAAATCAGCAGCAAGTCACACTGCTGGAGTCTTTAACACTAAAGAGATATCTATTCCTGCAGACTACTGTTCATCAGGTTCTTATACAGCATTTAAGACACAGATATCCACATCTAAATAAGTTGCACTGTATTAAAAGTGGAGGGAACGTTTTTTGTGTTGGTTCATTGCATTTCAACAACAACAGCAAAATTACATTTGTATAGCGCCTTTCACATCAGGAGGACGTCCCAAGGCACTGGACACTCAATATTTTGGACACGATCTGAGGGTCGAGATTGGGAAGGGTGGAGGGCAGGGCGAGATGGAGGGTGACCAATGGCACGGTCGAAGAGGAGGATTTTGAGATGGGTCTTGAAGGAGGCAAGGAAGGGAATGAGGCAGAGAGACTGCGGGATGGAGTTCCAGAGGGTGGGGGCAGAGTAGTTGACGGCCTGCCCAGCAGTGGTGGGACGGGCAAGGTGGGGAATGTGAAACAGGCCGGAGCCTGCTGAGCGGAGGGAGCGGGTAGGGGCTTGCAGAGGTAGGGTGGAATAAGGCCATGGAGGGCTTTGAGAGTGAGGACCAGGGTCTTGAATTGTATCCTTTGTGTGATGGGAAGCCAGTGGAGTTGAGCGAGGATGGGGGTGATAGGGTCGTGGAGCCTGGTCCGGGAGAAGACACGGGCTGCAGAGTTCTGGATGATCTGCAGCCTATGGAGGGAGGGGTTGCGGAGGCCGTCAAGCAGGGAGTTTGCATAGTCGAGCCTCGATGTTATGAATGCGCTTATGAAGATCTCGGCGGCCTGTGGTGTGAGACAATGGTGGAGCTGGGAAATGTTGCAGAGGTGGGGGAAGGCAGAGCGGTCATGGCACGGATGTGGGGTAGAAAGGACAGTTGAGGGTCAAACAAGATGCCAGGATTCCTGACTGGCACGATGAGATGGAGTGTGCATTCTTGGATACTGATGTTGTCAGTGCCTGAGGTGTGGTGGCGCTGATGGGAGCCCAACTGAATGACAATTTCAGAATTGTCATTCCATCACAAAAGTGCAATATAATTGTTACAGAAATGTAACGTGACTGTTCTCCATTTTAAGGCAGCGAAAGGAAGTTGTGATCACACTGGGGGAAATTGGTGGCTCTAAGATCAGTTTATGTTCTTTGTTCCTATCCCTACCCCATCCATGAATTCCCTGGAACCAGTCAGCACTGGTCTTTACAAGCCCAAAATAGGTGCAACTTGAAATTTGAGTCACGGTGAAGGAGTGGTGTGTTTTGTTCTTACCATCTCTCCTGTTTTGCTCTTTCAAAAATATTTAGTTTGTGTGGCAATCGATGGGCGCACTCAACCTGGCTGGCCTTGCCTTGCCACATCATGTCTTGGTGTAATTTACAGCTGCAACATTATCTTGTCCCTATGCTGTGTGTTTGGAAACATATATGTGGGTGGGAATTCACTACCAGACGCTGCTCAGTGCTTCAATGCGGTAAACCTGGCAAAGATCCAGAAGTCATTCCAGCAATATTAAATTAGCCGATTTTATACCCTCCTCTCCTAAAGGTCCTGAATCATTCGTAGTCTATTATACTCTTCCGCAGCCCTCCGGTGCCTTGCCCAATTAACAATAGTAATAATTCTTGTGCTTGATATAGCCCCTTATCATGATGTTAAATCTTCTTGACAATATGATAAACTGTGCATTTTCTAGGCAAAGGCAGCAGCCAATTTGTGCAAAGTAATGTCTCACAAACAGTTATGAAATGAATGACCAATTCTATCTGTGGATTGTTGGCCAGGACACTGGACATTTTTTAAGTGCATTTTTCAAGCCCACATTGTGAGTGTTAACCATTGTACTGTGGAGTGCATCAGAGACAAGCTCAATCCAATCCTCAACCAAGGTCCACAAGTGCACTCTCTTATAAGAATCATTGAATAGTGTCCCTTCTGGCTGAGATCAGTTAATTCAGCACAGACCAGGAATTAATTCAGTGAACTTCTATTTTGCATACTACCCATTGGAGAAGCTAATAGCTTTTTTTAAAAACTATAAATTTACTGTTTTTTGTTGGTAACAGTATAATTCAATGTAAACAACAAATATATCACAATACAAAGTGTATGTTACTGTTAATACACATTTCATTTCAGCCATTCACAAGTAATTTGCCTGAAGCTTACTGTCATGCATAGTTTTCTTCTTTATTCCATTATTTATAAAACTGTGTGTGTGTGGGGTGGGGGGCGGGAGGGGGTGTGTGGGTTAATTCCCGAATAAGGAATCCGAATCACTCTTATAGAGACTCCTTCTAGCAGTTTACTCCCACGTATAACTATTCTGCTCCAATGCAATCTATAACAACAGCTTTGTACGGCACCCTCCATGCAGGATAGTACCTTTGGAGTGCTGTACCCTGATGAGGTTGGACAATATAAATCTTCAAGTTGATTTAAAAATAGACAAAGAAGGAGCAAGTCAGATGGATTGAGGCAGGGAATTCAATTCAGGTTAAGAAGAATTTTTAAAGGATTCCCTATTGTCAAATACCACAAATTAGACCCCATTATTCTTCTTAAATTTGGTATTTCAGTTGTCTGATTCTTTTCATATACAATCAAATCTGTGAATTAACAATACCAACATCCTCCGTTTATATAGCACCCTTCACACAGGGAGTACCACGGAGTGCTTAATAACAATGTGGCTTGACACTGAGATAGAAAGGGTAGCAACCAAAGGATGGTGTAATTTGAAGACCAGTAGAGAAGGGGCAAAACGGAGGGAATAAGGCAGAGTTACAGAATTTCAAGACATAGTGGCTGAAAAGCATGACCACCAATTGTGGAGCGGAGGGACATGCAGCAGCGTCATCCCAACTAAGCAAAGGCAATATTTAGAGGAGTGGGGTGTGAGCACATTGAAAGCTGTTATTTTTACAATCGAGTACAGGTACAAAGTTAAAGAATCTTTCAGCCCATTTACATGGATGGTGCAATTTTCAGAGGCCTCAATTTTATGGAAAATTCTTAAATTCAATTCTTAATGTGATAGTTGGTAGTTTTGAGAAGTGCCGAAGTTAAGAATTTTCTACAATTCTATGTGATCTCAAATGTTCTGGATTGACTTATATACTTGCTGGGAGCTACCCGAGGGAGTTGGTGGATTTAAAACTGTTAATTTTCATTGTTTCCAAGGTTTAAAAAAAGGTCAACAAAACAGACCTGGAGATGTTTAGAATATTAATGATTGGAAAGCTCCCCTAGAAAGCTTTCCATGGTGCTGTTCTTTATGTTTATGTGGTGTGATATTAATGTGAATCTACATTGGTGATCTTGGTTCTCTTTTATCTATATGTAAAACATTGTTGAATGTGGACACAGAATCACTGGAGATTTATACTAACATAAATGCTGAGTTATACAAAATACAAAATTACATTTCTGATGCACCTTTCACATCAGGAGGACGTCCCAAGGCGCTGAATTGACCTGATCTTATCCCATATTAAATCTTTGTCAAGACCCTTCACACTTAAACAGTGATGAATAACCTCACATATGCAACAGATGTTTCAGTTTAATTTGAGTGACAAAATACTAATAAATTAAGCTCATATTTCTACAGAAAGAAGTATTTATATTTGCAGAACAAGTTGACTTAGTGCTGGATAAAACAGATAATGTGGTTTCTATCAGTGAATACCACTAAAGGATTGCACTGCTCCTTGCCCTACCTGTTCTCTGCTCTGAAAGAGTTGTGAATTTGTCCCTGTACTCTTATGGATAAGCCTAATCTGATTTGAAAGTATAATTCCACACTACACCTGTGAAACCGTACCATAGTCGAAGGAGAAAGGAGTCAAAACGGCTTCAGAAAGCAAAACAATAAGAGAGAAAATGGAGGTGAAAAACCCATGGAAAAAATAAAATTGCAATTGTTTAAATGGAGTTAAATTGAGTGTTAAATTGAGTGTTAAATTGAGTGTTAAATGGAGTGTTAAATGGAGTGCAAGGAGCAGA